AGACCTCCAGAACGAATTAAGTTCTTAACCTGAGGTACCACTGTATTTTCAGGCTATTTTTTAAATAAAAAAAATTAACACATGGTAACGTATTTATCTATTACATTTATGACAATCCCTTCTTTCAAATTGCCCTAGTATATGGAATTATTTGGATGAACAAGAGCTGCAATATTTTTTTTGCAGCATGCTATTTTTCTGCTCAGGGTCCCAACCACTTCAGTTCTGCTTTGCTTCCCACCCAATTTTCTGTCTCTAGACAAGAGATACGCACGGCAGTAGGTGCCTTGAGGGCAGATGTTGCCTGTAACTTCATCCAGTGGCTTGGGAGAAGAGGCTCCACCTGTACAATAAAATCCAGCAGCGCATTCCCCACTTGGAGCAGACAGACCTGATAAAGAAGAATGGGAACATCAGCAGAGGTACAGTTTTAACATATGCTAATAATTCAAGAGAAGCTAATAGTAAAAGGTTATTTATTATTTGTATTATTATTATTATTAATAAGAGCATTTACATATGTACCCTATATTTCTTCAAAGGAGCTCAAACTCACTTACATCCTTTCCCCTTTCCCAATTTTATCCTCATGTCCACCCTGTTAGCCTGAGAGGCAATGAACAGCCCTAGGTCACTCAGTGAAATGTCATGGTCGAGTGGGGATTTCAACCCTAGTCTTCCAGTTTTCTAGAAAGGAGAGACACTTTTGCTTATAGGTATGTTTGGAATTATCTTTTATTTCTAAGAAGATGGATATGTGCTGGACTTGCACAATATATTATATGGAGTTATTTGGACGTATCATTGTTTATTTTTGTACCTGCTTTTGAAGAAAGTTCTGCAAGTAAAGTTTTTGAATCATTTATGGGTCTAGGCAATTTTCATTGCGTGTTGAGGTCCACAGGGCCACCCCAATAACTCACACATCACACAGATTTTTTTGTTTAAGGTTTTTGGCATAATTTTGGCCACAACTTTATTAAAATACAAAAATGTGAGTGGTTGCTTAGGCATTAGTTGCGACTATCTGCCCCCACCAAGGGGGGCAGACTGACATTCCGCACGATGCAAAAGTCAGAAAAGGGGAATACACTTGGGGGTAGCGAAGGAGCAGGGAGCGTGCCCTCAGCCCTCCCCAAATGCAACCAGGAGCTCATTGCTATGGCCCGAGCCCCCTTGACAGAGTGGACAAGCAATAGTTAGCCCCCGATTCCTTTAACGGAATCCCTTGCAGCAGCAGCATTAGAGGGGCAGGCACAGCCAATCCATGCCCCTCAACCAACCAAACCATAAACCAATGCCTAACTGCAACCTTACAAGTTGTGACGATTTGCTACGCAGTAGGCAAAAACCAAATGGCCCCAGCCAATCAGCCAGATGGACAAAATTTCTACCGGGCCCCTGCCCCAAAGCAGACGACCCCATGACAGACATAGCAAGGTCAAAGCAAACAACCCTAATTCTAGGGAAGGAGGGATGGGCAATCCGATGCACGGGCAAAAAGAGGAAGCCCTAGCCTCGTGCAAGGAGTTTTAGCATTTCTGGCTTTCAATCAACAAATGGCAACATTAACTTCTTCCCAACAACAAGGGAAGCCCCAATCACATCAGTGGCCAACGATCAATTAGCCCGCCCCCAACTTTGGAGTGTCCTGGCGGCCCCCACCGCAACACGTGCTCTCCGTGAAGGAGAACACGCTTTCCAAAAAGAGTCAGTTTTTATGCATCCAGTTGCTTCCAGCTGCACAATATTAATATCCACTAAACACTGAGCTAAATGGACCAATGGCCTCTTGATATAAGGCAGCTTCCTATGTCCCTGTACCCAAAAGGAATTGATTGTTTTAGGATAGCAAACCGCACACAGGAAAGCCACCTGCAGCAAGCCACCTTCCCTCTCACTACTTAGACACCATTCAGGCAAAATGGGCAAAGGGTTCCCCTTACCAGGTGCATTGCAATAAAAGCCTGGAGGGCAGAGAATGGGCTCAGGACTGCCTTCTGGACAGTAGGACCCAGGGGAACACTTTGCTCCTGTCGCAGTGGCTGGGCAAAGGCAGTTGCCATTGGTGTAGTTATCCAGGTCAAAGGGCTGGGGGGTCCAGGCAGCTGAAATGCAGAACCAACCTAAGAGAGCAAAACAAACAAATGGAATTTGTGAGAAGTAGAAAGAAATATATATTGGAGGAGCAGCAAGAGGAGTTAATATTTATTTATTACAATAACCCCGAGAGGTAGGACAGGTCAAGAATGTGTGATTGGCCCATGGTTGCCCAGCAAGCTTTGCGGCTTAGTAGTGATTTAAGCCTAGGTCTCATACATCTTAGCAGGATGTTGGAACCACTACACCACACTGCCTCTCTTCAGCAGGAGTGGGCTGTGTGGTGTAAGAGAGAACAGTGTTGTCAGCACTATGCCTTTATCTCTGGTTTCGCCTAACAAAATGGGCCTGAAAACATTTAGAGCAGGGGTCAGCAAACTTTTTCAGCAGGGGGCCGGTCCACTGTCCCTCAGACCTTGTGGGGGGCCGTACTATATTTTGAAGAGGAAAAAAATGAACGAATTCCTATGCCCCACAAATAACCCAGAGATGTATTTTAAATAAACACACACATTCTACTCCTATAAAAACACCAGGCAGGCCCCACAAATAACCCAGAGATTCATTTTGAATAAAAGGACACATTCTAATCATGTAAAAACACACTGAATCCCGAATCTTCCGCTGGCCGGATATAGAAGACAATTGGGCCAACCCATGATTTAGGGGGTTGTTGGTGTTTTGAGTGAATATCCTCAAAGTATGTTAAACAGACATCTATGATTCTATAGCTTCTTGTGAACCCACCTCCTACCCTCCCTTTAAATATCACCTCACCCACCCCTTTCTGTTAATTATGTTTATTTGCACAGAGATGGGGAATCTGGTACTTTTCAGACATTGTTGGACTCCAACTCCCATCAGCTGCAGCTGCAGGAATGATGGGAGTTGTAGTCAAACAAATATCCAGAGGGCTACCTTCACATTCCTGCTTTATCACAACCCACTAAGCCCTTCTATCCCACTAAAACAAAATCAAAGTACGTGTAGCTGAACTGAATTCAATGCATGTCCTTTGGTTTCATCTCCTTCCTCTCCCTCGGTTCCTTCCCTCCCTTCGATTCCTTCAGAGTTAGGAGGTGGACCCATTTCAGTTTTGAAATGTCAGGTAGACAGAGATGCGTTTCTGCTCAGATTCCTCCAGCCTCACCTGCATCACACTTCCCGGACACCGTGGTTAAGTTTTCCTTCCCGCAGTAATGCCCCGGGAGACAAGGCAAGCAGCTGTCCAAACTTTGGGTCATGGGATCTGGGTTGTAATATCCTCGAGGGCAGGGAAACTTAGTCGCAAACTTGGTTCCTGAGAAGCATGACAAAAACAGAGGTGGTCATAACCAAATGATTTGGCAATGTGCCATTCTTGCTGTGTGTGTTTTTTTTGGGGGGGGGGCTACTGGTATATTTGTGTCTGGAATGCAGACAGGAACCCACAGGATGAAATTATCCTCTATACTTTTTTAAAAAAAATCATAATACTCCTCACAGGCAGAAAATTAGCATGTCAGGAATATGACAGTGCTAGAAATCTTCTGCCTGACGTCCTAGTTTTCTACTTTTTTGTCTAGAGGAGCATGCTGTGGTGTAAGCTGAAGCTCCCACCTATTAGAGGGCCACTTGTCCTATGTTAAAGATGGCAACCCTGTATTTCAAGGAATGTTCTAACCAGCCCAAGTCCAGTTTAAAAATAATCCTTCAACAGGGCAAACATCAGTACTTAGCACCTGCATAGCTGATTGAGGAGACACCCTTGAACACAGTCTTCTCCACTATGGTGAATTGCACTGTACTCTTATTTAAATTTTAGCAATTATTTCTACATTTGCATCTATACATATAAATCAGCACATGAAAATGTTATGCAGATCTGCACCTTCTTTTGATCTCCTTTTTTTTAAAGTGATGCACTTCCCCAGGGGAGGGGGGGTTGATGTAAAAGTGGCCACCTTAAGTGGTATGTTCTAGACTTCGGTTTAACAAGCTGTGTTATAATTTGGCAGCTCTCCATGCAATGCATCTTTGAGACAGCCAAAATTGGGATAGTCAAACGCAGCCATCTGTATCCACAAAAGCCATTTTAAATTGCTCTGCATGGTCACCGTCACATAATGAGACTGGCTTTCAGCTGCATCCTTGATGCTGCCACAGGTCTGATCCAGCTCCACCGAAAGGGACACAGCAGGGCTTCCTATCCAAACAAGCAAAAAATCCTGGCTCAGCCACCTTCTTTCTGGTACCTTGCACTGCTATCCTACTATCAGCAGATGGAGCTCATGTATCTGGATTTATTTTGAAGCTCTGCAAATTTGCTCATTCTTTTCCCTTGGGAAATCTGGTCGAGCTCTTAGCAAAAACACTTTTCCAGTTAACTTTTTAAAACCTTTGTTCTCTAAAGGGTATCTGAGCAAAGAGATTTCAGCACTGGCATTTAAGCACCTTCTACTGTCTGGACCGCAAAACATCAGTCTCACCAACATCTTGTTCTTGACAGCCATGACAGATCTCACCTTCAGGACAGTAGAAGCCAGGTGGGCATGGGAACTGACTGTAGTCGGTGGTATTTTCAGGGCAGAAGTAACCAGCTGGGCATGAGAAGCAGCTCGCTTGCCCAGTGAGATTGTTGTAAGTTCCCGCAACACAAGGAAGTGGCTGGCTGGTCCCATCTGGACAAAAATGGCCCATGGGGCAAGGGCCTCCCTGATCTGAAAACCCTGCAAGAAGGAAGAGTAGAAACTCTATAGCTATGTTTCTAGTCCTCAAGCCTTTGGTAAAAAAGAAGACACTTGAAACCAGAAACCAGCAGGGAAGTATAAGCCACAGCTCTCAATGCCTTTTCTTATAGAATCATTGAATTGTACAGTTGGAAGGGAAGTATCTAGGCCAACCCCTGCAGTGCAGGAAAATTTTGACCAACGTGGAGCATGAACCCATTACCCTGAAATTAAGAGTCTCATGCTCTACCAACTGAGCTATCAAATTGGTTTGTTTATTCATTTCATGTCATGAAATGCACATACAGTTAAGGCTCCTAACAGTGCTGGCTGTGGGCTTAAGGGAAAGAGACTGAGTTCAATATCAGTCTCTCAAACAAATGTTGAGTTCAATGGTGCCAAAAGCTACAAGCACCTTATTCAGAGGGCAGTGTCTTGTTGAAAACCCCACCATTGTTTTGCAAGGGCACTCAGGGAATCTGCATTCTCAAGACAACCCTGACACACTCACCTGTGGGGGAAGGAGAGATGGCCCCGGGAAGGCAGTAGTAGCCAGCAGAGCAGGGCCCGGAAGGGGCTGTGAGACCAGCAGAGAGGCAGTAGCGGCCAGGTGGACATACTGTGCAGCTGGACTCAAGGGAGAGGTACAGCCTGAGAAAAGAAGATTGGCAATTTGCTACTAGGCCATCTACAAAGTGCTTGTGTTGATACACAAAGCCCAAAGCAAATGGGACCCAAGAAACCTTAAGGTCTGAGTCCTTATGTTCCACTTTGATTGGCAAGATCCTCTGATGGGGCACTTCTGGGGCTTCCCCCCGCCCCTGAGGTTTGGTTGGCCTTGTCAACAGACCGAGCTTTTAGTGCAGTATGTGGCACTCCCTGCTAATAGTAGGATAACAAATAGCAGTTTGGCATCCTGACTAGGGATGAATGAATCTGTCCATTCCAGTTTCTCTCTGTTTCTCATTTGTCCATCTTTCACTTCGGTTCTCCCTGTTTCTGGATCCATTTGCAGAATTTCTCTCTGTAAATTTCTCCGTGTGAAAATTTGTGTAGATCTTTGGGTAAATTTGTGTAGATCTTTGAGTAGGTGGAGGGTGCCTAACATGGACATTTTTGCAAGCCATTTTCTCCATTGCAATGTAGTTTCATAATGACTTCTTCACTCATATATGCATTTCTGCAAACACTCTTTGGTCCCAGAACTGAAGCATGAAGTTTGGAGAGGTACAAATTTCAAAGGACCTTTTTAGTTCAAGAAATGTGCATTAAGTAGCTATGCATTACTAAGCACATCTTCTCCCCAACCTTTAGTCCTGGCACTGTGAATTTATTATACCCGTATTTATTATGCCCAGTTCAGCCAATCCAGGGGTCCAGTACTGCCCATTAATCCTCTTTCTGCAGGAAGAAGCAGGGTCAGCCCTAAAATTAGGCAGAATAAGATAGTGGCCTCAGGTGTCAGATTTGTGTGTGTGTGTGTGTGTGTGTGTGTGTGTGTGTGTAATGGCAGACAGAGCAATGCACTGGGTCCCCAAAGGTAGTTTGACATTCTCTAGATTTGGGACCTCCAGCTTCCTCTAGTCAACCCTCTGCAGCACAGAAATCACAGCTAACAAATCCAACCAGCACATTCCAAGATGTGGTGGAGGGTGCTGTCCCATTTCCAGTGCTGAAGTCAGATTCATCTACCAGTCCAGCTGATTTCTGTACATAGAGTTAGAGGTGGGGTGCTGTCTCATCCTCTGCCCCAGGGAACAAAACGTTTTGGGCTAGTCCTGGGAAGGAGTCACTCTCCACCGCACAACCACACACAGTCTTCAAGGCTCATACCTGTCCGAGAAGGTGCCTGCAGGGCATGCCAGAGGGTACTTGGTTCCAGCTGGGCAAAAGTGTCCAGCTGGGCAAGGGCCTCCAGCACTCATGGGAGAAGTTCCATCTGGGTTTGGGCTACTGGAACCTGCAACAACAACATAAACCCAAGCCATGACACAGCTGTAGTGTGTAACTGGGACAGCTAAGCAGTCCATCTGGTTCAGAACTCTGGGCACAAAAGGGAATTTCAAGATTTAGGTGGGGTAAATATCTGAGGCATTATCTTTTGATTTGGTTCACTATGTTTATTTATTGTTTGCAGATCCACTATGTTGTTGCATTTTGAATAAATATAGCATTTTTTCACCACATGGATCTTCTTCATGGCTGCGCTGGTAAAAAAAAAAAGTATAGACAGACACCGACAAAATGACCAATACCTGAACTGCAGAAGAAGCCTGGCAGGCAGGGGCCAGTGGGAGCAGGCAATCCCCATTCACCGCAAAACATCCCTGGGTGGAAACACAAGGAATCAGATAACCAGCTAGAATGACCTTCTACCACAGCACAATGAAACATGATCCTGTTGCTGCAACAGAACAGGACATGCTTTGATTTCATGTCTTGATTATGAGAGCCAGCGAGGAGATTCGTCTGCCTATTATAAAGAAATTATGTTGGCAGCCCAGCTACAGGAGGGGGGCAGGGCAGGGGAAGTTGGCTTTTGCAAGATGCACAGATAATAAATAATAATAATAATAATAATAATAATTTTAAAAAATATATTTCCCCCCCAGCCACTCTGGGCAGCTCCCAACAGAATATTAAAAACACGATAAAACATCAAACATTAAAAACTTCCCTAAACAGGTCTGCCTTCAGATGTCTTCTAAAAGTCAGATAGTTGTTTATTTCCTTGGCATCTGATGGGAGGGCGTTCCACAGGGTGGGTGCCACTACTGAGAGGGTCCTCTGCCTGGTTCCATGTAACCTCACTTCTTGCATGGAGGAAACAGCCAGAAGGCCCTCAAACAAAACAGCTGCAGCAGCTGTTATTTTCCTGAAACAGTTTCTCACCTGCAGGACACAGCTGGCACCTCTCTGCTCGGTCACTACCAGAAGATGGGTTGTAAGTCCCAGGAGGGCATGGATGAGGAGAGGCTCCAGTCTTTGGTGGGCAGTAGAACCCAGGTGGACAGAGGAACCTTACGCCATTTTTACAATAAAGGCCAGCTGGGCATGGGAAGCACTCCTCCAGACCTGAGGAAAGAAAAGAAGAACTGAGTTGTTCCCTTGCTTTCCACTTTCTGTACTTTGAAATGACCTTTGCCTGCTCTGCTTACACACAGAGAGGCACACACACACACACACACACACACACACCTGTATTTCTCTCTGGATTAGCTGGTGCTAAAATGACAGGAAGGCTGGCTGTCAACTTGTGAGTCATATTCTCAAACTCGAAAATACAAATCCTGGGAGCGAGAAATGCTCCCCTCAAGCATGGGACAAACTTAAAAATGTGAGAATTCTTCTCCAGCTCAGATTTAATTGCCAATGGTCTTAGGAAAATTTAGTTTCCCAGGGTACCCTCCTTTCCTTCCTCCCAGTTGCAGCTGCTAGTTGCTAGTGATGCTAAAGCTAGACCCTAAGTTAGATCAGAGGAGGAGGGGAAAGTATCTGGGAAATCAGTGGATGGGAGGAAAGAGTTATGAGGTGGGTAGGCCTAGAAAATAAGCCAAGCTATTTTCTGATTTCTCAGTGAAATATCTTGGTTAATTCTAAGTCAATATGATTCAAGCTAAAGGGAACTTGCTGGTCACTATTGACTGGAATTAGACTGGTATTTTGGCTCAGTTTCCCCCCAGCAATTTGGGTATGTATGTGTGAAAATAAGCCATTCATGAAAATAGAGGGAAGTGGGAGAAATTTTGCAAGAGGTGTTTGGAGTTATGGGGAAAAGGTTTGGCTCACTTAAATGAAACAATGAGTTTATGTCTCCAATACTTTTAAACTTTAGTAAAAGTATTGCATGCTCACCTACCTAAAGTTTAAAAGTTAGAAAATAAATCTCAACGTTTCCTTTGAGTAAGATGAGCAAAATCCTTTTTGCATGCATACAGTATCCCAAAAAACATCCTATTATTTCTTCTCCCTCCCCCCATGAGCAGATTCCCCCCCACCCTTTTGTAGGAGAACAAATGGTCCCCTGAAAATGCAGGTGAAAATTCAGCTCAGTGTTACCACTGACAACTCCTACAAGCTATGTCTGATGGACACACAGAAAGAGACACCCTGCCAAACATGCACTCCTGACCTGTTATTGGGCTGTATTCCCCATCTCGGCATGGAGATGGCATTGAGGAGCCTGCAGGACAGAAGTGATTTTCGGGGCACAGGTCTCCAGTTGCCCTGTCTGCTGGCCTGGAAGTTCGAGTCCCACCCCTGCAATAGAAACCTGGAAGCAGAGGGGAAGTAGGTTATATTAAACTGCTAGTTGTGGCAGGAAGAAACAAAAGAGAATCTGCATAAGAACATATGAAGAGCCCTGTTTGATCAGGCCTACGGTCCATCTAGTCCAAATTCCTGTTCTCTCAGTGGCTAACCAGATGCCTGAGGGAACTGACAAACAGTACCCGATCACAAGAGCTCTCTCCCCTCCTGTGGCCTCCAGCAACTGGAATTCAGAAGTATTATTGCCTACAGTAGCCATCATGGCTAGTAGCCATCAATAGCCTTCTCTAATAATTTATCCAATCCTCTTTTAATGCCAATATACAGTAGGTTGGTGGCCATCATTGATTCCTGTGGGGGTGAGTTCCATACTTTAACTATGTGCTGCTGCAGCAAACACACGTTGGCCCAGTTTGTACATAATTCTAAATCAAACTATGGCTTAGCAAGTATGAGCAGGTGCACAGTACCCATAGGGGAAATTGCAGTTGCTTCATTCCTCCCTTGGTCATGCTGCGGCACTAACTACAGCATAGCTGTCAACCTTCCCTTTTTTTGCAGGAAATTCCTTTATTCCAGCACCGTTTCCCATTGCTTCCTGCTGCTATCCCGGATTGTTAGATATCCCGTAGACTGCCCCCGGGACAGGGGTGGCTGCTGATCCCTTATTTTTGAGGCTGCTGATCCCTTATTTTCAAATCTGAAAGTTGACAGCTATGAACTACTGACAAGCCATAGTTCAGCTTAGCATTACATGCAAATCTGGGTTTGGGTTTTGTCTCACTCCATATTAACCATGAACGGTAAGGCAATGATGTTGCTTAGCACAGGGGTAGGAAACCTCAGGCCCAGGGGCCAAATGTAACCCCTGTCCCAGATCTCTCTTCCTGGACTCCAGGACTCTCTTCAGATCACAGGTCTTCCTGGGTCTTTGAGTACTTTGAATGTGTCATTGAACTGTGATTAATGTCTCTTGCATGCCAGGCTAGAGTATGGT